CTGCAACCTGGTTCCTAAGCCTTGTTCCCATGCTCGCAAACTTGCTAGAACCGACCATTCTCCTTATCTCAACTTAGGGGTACCCTCAACCCTTTAAGCCCTCAACCCTACACCAGCATGTTAGTTGGGCATTCTGCGTGTCAAGGTGCAAAGGCGGTCTTAGCAGGGCCAAGAAAATAGGTAGTCTGGGTGAGATTCAAGCGCCGGTGTTGTGGGCTTTGGTGCAAGGGTCCGGGCGCGGGCCTGTGATATGACCTAGCTAGCTCATGGTTGGGATAGTATTAAAAAATTAAATTTGTTTATTCCTTATTGGGTTTAAGTACCCTTCAAAATGTAAAATGCTACCCAACTATGACCAAGCTATGGGGGTGGTGTGCAGTGAGAGAATGGAGATGACCATCCCTCAGCTCTGAATGGGGGTACCCTTTTAAGTCCAACAATAAGGATTGGTGTCTCTTGTTTTGGAGGGGGGGGGTATTTTAGGGCTACGCCTGAAATAACCCAATGAGTCTAAAGACCCTAAACCCTAAACCCTAAACCCTAAACCCTAAACCCTAAACCCTAAACCCTAAACCCTAAACCCTAAACCCTGAGCCCGAACTGGTTTGGGGTTACCAGGGGTCTGGTGCTGGGATCAGGGCCGAAACGTTCAACTTCCACTGGAGAAGGGTAGATGCAAAGTGCACCTGCGGCTCTCTTTGAAGTCAAGGGGTTTAGGGTTTAGGTTTTCGGGTTTAGGGTTTAGGGTTTAGGGTTTAGTTAGGTTTTCGTGCTCTAGGGCTCTCAGAAAACTTCTAGAATTGGGGCGAACCTTAGCCAGACCAAAACCCGACGACCCCTAAGCCCGACCCTCAAAACCCGAAGCCACCAACACACCCCAAACACACCCTGACCCACCCGCAAAACCCTCAGAAAACCCTAAACCACCTGAACGCTCCATTGCCCTCGAAGACAGACCTAACACCCTGAGGAACCTAGACCCAGGAGTAACCTAGGAATACAAGGGAACCCCAAAACAAGGAACAAAGGGCCTACTCCTCCAAAACTAAGCCCTACTCTCGGGATCATCAGGTTTTGCGCCCAGATTGCCGCTAGGATCATTAGGATCATCAAGCCCTGTTTAGGGATAGGCTCCACTTGAAGCACCTGAAGCTTTTCTGACCTAAACCCTTAACCCTAAACCCTGAACCCTGAATTCTAAACCCTAAACCCTAAACCCTAAACCCTGAACCCTGAACCCTGAACCCTGAACCCTGAACCCTGAACCCTGAACCCTGAAACCTTGAAACCCAAACCCCTGCACAAAAGCCCACGGGACCGGAGCAAGCCCCGCTGAACAAACTTCGGGCTTTGGGGGGTTCAGGTCTCAGGGTTTAGGGTTAGGGTTTAGGGTTTAGGGTTCAGCATCTCTGGTCCAAGCATTCACTAAGGGTTTCTGTCATCACCCTACGTGTTTGGCATCACCCCTCCCTCCCAGATCCCTCTTCATCTGAATTACATATCTTCTTTCTTACTTTAGTTGATCATTTAGCTCGCAACATTCTTTCTCGATTCGGCACCGTCTAGTCAATTCGGCACACGGATAATACACAGCCGCGTCGGTTTTCGGGATTTTTTGACCAAAACCGAGCCTTCACCGGTTTCAAAAACTTCCAATTTTTCAAGGTTTTTCAAGGTTTTTCAAGGTTTTTCAGAGTTTTCAATGTTTTTTAAGGTTTTCAATGTTTTTCAGGGTTTTTAAGCCTCAGTTCTGATGAAGGGCCGCCCCCCGCGACCTTTTCACAGCCTAGTTTTGGTCAAGGGGGGTAGTATTTTTCAATTTTAAAGGCAAAATAGTCTTCGGAGACCCCCCCTTGCCTCAAACTCCGACCCCCCTTGAGAGGGCAAGTTTGCCTCCAAAAACACCCCAAATGAGGGGGACCCCAGGATCGGCCCGGGTCCCTATTAAAAATGTGATTTTTTAGTACTGAAATCGACGGTCCCGGGTGGGCTCTCGTTTTCTGGATTTTTTCACCAAAACGGAGCCTTCACCTCAGGATTGCAAGTTTTTCAAGGTTTTTCAGAGTTTTTCAGTGTTTTTTAAGGTTTTTCAATGTTTTTCAGTGTTTTTAAGCCTCAGTTATGATGAAGGGCCGCCCCCGCGACCTTTCCACAGCCTAATTTTGGTCAAGGGGGGGGTGGTATTTTTAAATTTTAAAGGCAAAATAGTCTTTGAAGACCCCCCCTTGCCTCAAACTCCGACCCCCCCTTGAGAGGGAAAGTTTGCACCCCAAATGAGGGGGACCCCAGGATCGGGGGTGGCATTTTTCAATTTTAAAGGCAAAATAGTCTTCGGAGACCCCCCCTTGCCTCAAACTCCGACCCGCCTTGAGAGGGAAAGTTTGCCTCCAAAAACACCCCAAATGAAGGGGGACCCCAGGATCGGCCCGGCTCCCTATTAAAAATGCGATTTTTTAGTACTGAAATCGACGGTCCCGGGTGGGCTCTCGTTTTCTGGATTTTCCGACCAAAACCGAGCCTTCACCTCAGGATTGCAAGTTTTTCAAGGCTTTTCAAGGTTTTTCAGAGTTTTTCAATGTTTTTTAAGGTTTTTCAATGTTTTTCAGTGTTTTTAAGCTTCAATGCTGATGAAGGGCCGCCCCCGCGACCTTTTCACAGCCTAGTTTTGGTCAAGGGGGGGTGGTATTTTTCAATTTTAAAGGCAAAATAGTCTTCGGAGACCCCCCTTGCCTCAAACTCCGACCCCCCTTGAGAGGGAAAGTTTGCCTCCAAAAACACCCCAAATGAGGGGGACCCCAGGATCGGCCCGGGTCCCTATTAAAAATGTGATTTTTTAGTACTGAAATCGACGGTCCCGGGTGGGCTCTCGTTTTCTGGATTTTTTCACCAAAACGGCCCCTCCCAGCCAAGAGGAAGCAAGTCCCCGGGCCTCCCTGGAATACTAAATTACGAAGCCGGGCCTCCCCGGAATACTAAATTACGAAGCCGGGCCTCCCCGGAATACGAAGCCGGGCCTCCCCGGAATACTAAATTACGAAGCCGGGCCTCCCGGAATACTAAATTACGAAGCCGGGCCTCCCCGGAATACTAAATTACGAAGCCGGGCCTCCCCGGAATACTAAATTACGAAGCCGGGCCTCGCCCGAATACTAAATTACGAAGCCGGGCCTCCCCAGAGAGGCCCCTGAACCCTAAATCCTAAATCCTAAATCCTAAATCCTAAATCCTAAATCCTAAGGGCCTCCCCGGAATACTAAAATACGAAGCCGGGCCTCCCCGGAATACTAAATTACGAAGCCGGGCCTCCCCGGAATACTAAATTACGAAGCCGGGCCTCCCCGGAATACTAAATTACGAAGCCGGGCCTCCCCGGAATACTAAATTACGAAGCCGGGCCTCGCCCGAATACTAAATTACGAAGCCGGGCCTCCCCAGAGAGGCCCCTGAACCCTAAATCCTAAATCCTAAATCCTAAATCCTAAATCCTAAATCCTAAACGACCAAACCGGGAGTACGACCCCATTAAGGTTTAAATATACATAGGTAGAGAGGGTTTAGGGTGTAGGGTTTAGGGTTTAGGGTTTAGGGTTTAGGGTTTAGGGCGGGCTTGAGGTTGGGGGGTGTGGCTTGGAGTAAGTTCTTAATGCTGCAACCTATCACCTAGTTCCCCGCGAGCTCTGCTTGTGCACTGAAAGGCCTTAGGGTTTGGGTTGCCCTGTTTCATGTTAAGGGCACGGGGTGTTGGGATGGTTTGTACCGGTGCGTATGGATTCCCATTAGGGTCAACCGAAATACTACAGTCGAAGCTACTGACCCAGGACCCCGGAAGCCACAACTCAACCCTAAACCCCATACCCTTATTTTCCAAACAAAAATGTTTCACATGTATGAAAACATCGCCTGGCTGAAAGTACGCGATCCATCGATGTTATGCTCATTCATTGGTGTTCCATGCACGGCAATGCTATTCACATGCACCGACTGCAATGACATGCACCCTCACGCTAACACGACTGAAGCTTATGCACTGGCATCTTTTCCAAGGAAGGGGATTTGCTGTGTCTGCTTCCATCCGAGATCTGTCCTCTGCAGGTGTGTGAGAAACGAAAGCTCCCCCGTGAAACGCTACACAAAGTGCTGAAAGCAGAGTTCTCTGCTGCACTCAGCGGTTCCGCCTAAGTGAGCGGCCTGTCAATGGTTGAGTTGAACAACGAAGTGCACACATGTTCCGAGGTGCACCGGTAGATCGCTGAGGTTCGTGCTGTAAGGCACATGACGACCCTGCATTTCCAAGCGGAAACTGGAAGTACGTAAGTCATGCCCAGAGCGATGCCACACATCGTCAGCAACCGCAAACTTGACGTCGTCAACTGTTCCTGTGGTCGCCACTCTACAAAGCACAACATCCACAACCGGCACATTGGTTACCATCACTGCCAGCCATTGGATCCTTGATTCTCTGTTCGTCTCTTCATCAAGACCCGCTGTTCCGGCATCACGTTTCATCTCAACTGCCCAATGTAAGGCACAATTGGAGTGGGTGGGTGGGCAGAAAAATTTTCCCGGACCCTCTCCACGAGGGTTGTGGCTGAGAGGGCTGTGGCCAGTCTTCGTCTGAGCCGAAAAACTTTCTCATTCGTAGAATTCGAAAATTTTTCTCCGGAAAATAAAGGTTTGTACTTACAGCACGATTACCTTATTTTCCAAACAAAAATGTTTCACATGTATGAAAACATCGCCTGGCTGAAAGTACGCGATCCATCGATGTTATGCTCATTCATTGGTGTTCCACGCACGGCAATGCTATTCACATGCACCGACTGCAATGACATGCACCCTCACGCTAACACGACTGAAGCTTATGCACTGGCATCTTTTCCAAGGAAGGGGATTTGCTGTGTCTGCTTCCATCCGAGATCTGTCCTCTGCAGGTGTGTGAGAAACGAAAGCTCCCTCTCTTGGTCGGGGAGAATGCAAGTCCCTTCCTTGGTCATGGGGTTTCAGGCCCCGCGCCCGACGAGCGAGTTCACCAGCTTGGCCATTTCCGCAAGAAGCACCTGGTCTTGGAACCTGCAATTGTGTGGCAGCCCTGTAAAGTCAAGGCGAGACGGGGCGTCCGCCACGTTGGATTTGCTCGGTACCCGAGCGTAGAACGGGATCATCTCAAGCTCCTGTTCTAACAATGCGCAAGCATTGCTCAAGAGGGTCAAAGCCTCTGAATCGCTGGTCAGCTTGAGGAGCGTTATGCGCGCCGCCTCATTGTCTAAGTAGCACATCACATGTTTCCCCCGCAGAAACTCTCGGGCTAGAATGAATAGCAGGAGAACAGCTATGCTCTCGAGCTCGTTGATGACTTTAGACTTTCCTTGCAGAAGTTTCTCAGCAAGGTCATGCGGCAACACAATGCCAAACCAGCACAGGATGTGCCCCTCCTGATTGAACAGGACTGCTCCCAGGCCCATTTCGAGGCCTTGGAGTCCTTCTTGCGAGGCGTCCGTAAAAGCGTACACCGTCTCTGAGGTCTGGGCTCGCACTATCCTCGGCGACGCCTCGGCTATGTAGTGTCGTAGCCCCTGCAGTGCTGCGCAAAGGGAGGCTTGGTTTTGTCTCCTGACATATGCGGGGGCATTGATGATGTCAGAGATTCTTCTCATGAAGCCCTTCGGCAAGCGCCCAGAGAGTTGGCCCGCCACGAAGTGCAGCCTTCCCCTCAGTCGATTCCAGGTCTTAGGGCTTGAGGCTCCTTGCTCCTGAAAGGCTGCCAGGTCTTCGATGAGACTGTTGGTCCGCTCTGCTGTATTCTGGATTCTAATTATCTGCTTGCTGCTGTCTGTAAGGTCAAATTCGACCCCCAAAGATCTGAAGACCTCCTGGAACGGCTGGGCCTTGTCTCCGTCTCTGTCAAACTCAAAGCCGAGCAAGTCTAGCAGAAAACATGCACTGGCCTCTGCGCTAGTGGCCAGCTGTCGTGTTGACAACAGTGTGAAGTCATCGTAAAAAGAGCTCCAAGGCAAGTGCCAAAACGTGTTTCCTATATGACAAATAGCCAGGCTGACCCTAATGAATGCATGGACCGCCGCCACAGCGCCGAATGGAAGGCAGAGAAGCCTAAAGAAGCGAACCTCCCCCGAATTGGGGTCCTTGACAGCCACGTAGGCCATGTTGAGTGCCTCTTCGGACAGTGGTAGTTGCCTATATGCTGATTTCAGGTCAATGGTTTTACCAAGCAGTCCTTGTCCTGCGTGCCTCAGGAACAATATGGCCGACGCTGCAATTGTCTCGATGTCATGCAACTCGATCTTCCCCATGCTCCCGAATGCCTCGTTGATGTGGCTCTGGGACAGGTCGTCAATCGGCCTGACCTTGTTTCCTTGTTGGATCGCAAAACGTTTGCTGACTACAGCTCCTTGTGGCAAGTCCTGCTCTCGGAAAGGTCCTTCCGACCAGCCTTTTGACACTTCATCGAGACTTTTCTGCCACAGTTCTTCCAAGAACTGAGATGAGTCCTCAACTTCCTTGATGACCTGGTGGTTCGTCTCCTGCGTCAGTTGGGACAGGTCCTTCAGGGAGAGGAATGCTGGACGAAAGTCGGTGGACCAGCCTGCCGGAAGGTCTAAATGCCCCACAAGATCAAAACCCTGTGCCAGGTCGTCTGCCACTGCCTTGTCGGCGTAGTGGGACGCTTCTAGCATCTCTTTGAAGAGCAGTATTCTCTTGTTACGGAGGCTGCTGCGGATGTGCTCGGGCAGCTTGGCTTTGAAGTCGTCCTCAGCTAACTGCAGCTCCTGGGCTCGCTGGAGCCATCTCCGTGACTGCGCGGCTCGAGTCTCAATCACCTTGCTTGCAGGCTGTTTAGAACACGCCAAAATTGCCTTCCGCAGGGCGGGTGGCACCCCGAGACACAGGTGTCGGGGGTGGCCGGCCAGTCGGGCTTTCGCCACAAATTCCTGTGGGTTCCACGGGACCTCCACCAGCACATCCGTCGCAGAAGACAGTAGGGGCGTCACTCTCAGCGCCGGGGCTCCTGGCGCCTTGAAGCCCGGGATCCTGTCCGGTGCCAACCACTGTGTAGTCTGGAGAGTACTACGGAGTTGGCCGGGCACTGTCCATCTGATTCGTCTGCGAAATTCGGGGATAACCTGAAACGATGCAGCCCTTTTGGTCTTCGCCTGTGTCGTTACCACCCTGGCTCCTGAGGAGTTTGCGGGATCTGCCTCCAAGAGATTCAGACCATCCCGACAACCCTTCTGTGTCAGATGCTGCAGCAGCAGGGAAACAAAGTGCTTACAAAACTGGTGTGGATACGCAGTCTCAAGCTTTGTTGCGAGAACTCCCTCTTGCACTTTCCAGGGCAGGTGCTCGTGGGATCCATCACACGTGACAGCCAGGCCTGTGATGAGGTCGCTGTTGCACAGCAGGGCCGTCCGCTTCAATCTCGAACCTCCCATCATGCAAAAGTCGCACTGGACCACGATCGCCTGTTCACTCCTGAGGATGTGTTCAATGGCGCTGCAATGCCAAAAGAAACTGCGATAGGGGTTCTCTATGATTACCACAATGTCATTTTCGCAGCAGAAGTCCCAGATTCGGGCCGTGAGCCGGTAAAGCTCGTTAGCCTTTGCCACCCTTTCTGCATCGCTTGGGCCAAGGCCTGGGAGCCCTTCCGGGCACTCCACTGACCGCAAAGGACGCGGCTCGCCCTCCCCCGGAAACGGGATTTCCCTGGCCCTGCTGGATGTGCCGCAGGGCGGCGCCAGCCATACGGCGACCAGTCCTGGAGAACCCAGCCATTTCCACAGAAGACCTTGGTGCGACAACAGGAGCAAGTCCAGCTGTATGATCTTGCCCTTGCGCCTCGGCATGCGGACATTGTCTACTCCGACTGACCGCTTGAGGCCGGCTGAAGCAGCTGCCGAGGTAATCCCGGCCGACCCCGCGAAAATTTCCAAAACCCAACACTCCTGTATGGTCTGGGGCGCAGTACATTGCGCTTGTCCAGACCTCTGCGCGCCGTGATGACTCGCCTGAGGTGAAAATGCAGAAGCCTCGGCTGGAGGCTTGGAAAATTGTGGGATTGGCTCAGCCACCCGCTTGAGCGGGGGCTGCTTCTCTTGCCCTTTCGCAAAAGCAGCAGGGTACGAGTCCTTGCAGCTCTCTTCGGGCCTGTCCGCCTCAGAAGCGGGAAAATTGTTCTGTTCACAAAATTGGGCCGAACTGTCTCCACCCTCCCCCATGGCTGTTTCTGCTCTTACCGCGCACGCTTGTGCGCGACGCGCGGTCAGAGCAGCTCGAGACGCCTGGTCCAGCGCAGAAGCGCTGTCATTCGACGTCCCTTGCAGCGGGGCGTTCTTTCAGGCTACCTGGCCTGAATGCTTGTGCTCAGAAAAGGGATGCTTCCGGAAGCAACCTGGGTGACAACACACATGTCTGCCACGTGCACATCTGCCCCCCAAGGGGGCGTCCTTGCACTGTCCTAGGTTGAAGCCAAAACAAAGAGGCTCTCCTTGCTCGTCGTTCGGCACTCCGCCTCGCAAGGCGGCCGGCATGGGGGTCTCCCCCTTGCCTCCTTGCAAGACAAGGGACTTGTTCGGAAAGCCTCCCTTGCCACTGTCAAATTTGCCCTTTGTGGGGAGGCGGGCCCCCTTGAGGCCTGATTTGCCTCCCTGGCCCTTGTCTCCTTTGTCGGTCCTCTGATATTTCCATTGTCCATACCCTTTTCCATCGCCCCAGCGCTTGGGGCCCTTGCCAGCGCCTTTGCCTCCTCTATCTGGGAACCCTTCCACACGAGGTGTCGGCATGAAGTGGAAATTGACTGCAACCGTGTTGGTGGCTTCCAGAAAGACTTGATCTAAGCACCGGGCGTCCGCGAGCGGCGCGTTCGCCGCTGCCCTTGTCAGGGTCGGCTGTTTGCTGCCAAGCTCCATCCACAAGGCCCGATCTGCTCGCAGGACCTGCTGCAGCGTCGGACGGTTGAAGCCTGGGGGCGGTGGGGTCTGCAAGGTAGCAAAGGCCTTCTGAAGCCATTTCTCGTGCACCTTGAAACTCAAAATGCCAACGAGGTCGTAGGCCAGACCCCGTCTTTGCAGCGCCCTGTAAGTCGCCATGTCTGACCCCAACTGGGCCTCTACTTTAGAGGATTTGTCTTGAACCGAGAGGCCATCCCCCGAAGCATCCAGCACAAGTTCCTTGGTTGGCTTGCCTTGCGCCAATTCCTGGCGACGCGTGGGGATCTTGCTCGGGTGCAGGTATTTCAGCGACCCTTGCTCTACCTGTGTCGACACGGCATCATATACTGAAAAGGCGGGCTCCAAGTCATGCTCAATCGAGAGTCCGCCCAGCCTTTGAGCCTGCAATTCCAGGCGCTGGGCTCTCTCAGCTCCTGGCAGCTTACGTAGGACTGAGTCCGGCTGCTGTTCCACGGTTGCCTTCAAGTTTGCCAAGCTCATGGTCTGGCACTCAAACAGGAGCCTCTTGACAACTGTCATCTGTGCAAGAGTGGGGTTGTTCTGCCCCAGACTCGTACATAGAGTGGAGACCTCCCTATCTGTGAGAGGTTGACCCGGTTGAGTGGCGGCATAGGCTGCCATGGACACCGTCTTGACCCCTCCAGCTATGAATTTGTCCAAGAGTGGCTGCTCCATTCCGATCTTGCGAGCATGTTGCTCGAAGAAAGGCTGACTATCCGCTGCGTTTGCCATGTTTAGGGCGTGGGGCCAAAACTGCAACTTGCAAGAGAGAGAGCTGGTACAAAGGGCTGGTGTTGCACAAGCACACAAACCGGCCAACAACAGTGTCACCCCTCTCTTTACTCCTGAAAACAACGGCTGCACTGTAGCCACTTCGCTGAGGGCTTCTCCATTTCTACAAAATTGACGCTTATCCACTTGCCACATTTCAGCGTCGTCTGACCTACTTTGTACAGATGTAACATGGTAGACTTCTTGTTCTGGATCGCGCTCCAACCCTCCGGTAGGCTCAGGGTCGAAGCTGGTTCCTCCTTTTCTTCCGACGAGGCTCCATCAGAGGTTTCCTCGGAGGACCCGTCTGCTGATGTGGTGGGCGAGATCTCTGCCTCCTCGTTATCATCTGCACCTTGTGTGTCGACCTTATCGAACAACGCCTCGCAAAGCCCAGAAGTCACGGTAGCCAACCTGTCTAATTCCTCACTTTCTTTCGAGGGGGATTCGTCTCCTTCCGCTACCGACGGCGCAGATGCTTCCAAGACAGGCATGGCACTTGGTGACTCAAAAACCTTCCCTTGCGAGGAGCAAAGCGGTCCAACCCCCAGGAAATCGTCCTCAAAGCCTTCCACTGTAGCTGGCAAAGGCTCATGCGTGCTTTCGGAGTTCGCGGGCAGCCCATCTAAGCTGCCTGCCTTGCTGATCGGCAACCAGGACCCGAGGTCAACAGACGCACCTGCCTCTGATCCTTGGGGACGGGCAAAGTATCCACTTCGAGTAGCGTCCGGGCAAAACGAGCCCTCCCGTACCTGCTTTAGCATTTCCTCCAGCTTCCGGAGGGGGCCACTAAGGGCGTCTCTTGAGTAAGCTAATGTACTCAACGCTCCAGTAGAATGATGTGCCAAGAGTGTCTGTGTTTCGCCCACAATGCCGTATTTGCTCAACCAGCCCAGAGCAGTGTGTTTCAAGGAATGTGTGGTAACCCTCGCTGTTGAGGGGTCGCGGTTCCTTAGCAGTCCCGTCAGCCAGTTGGAGGCCTCGGCGGAGTCGATGGACCTCTGCAGCCAGGCACCGTCTGGGGCGGTGGCCGGTAGTAAAGGGCCTACAGGGGTCTTCGAGAGCACGATCCCTGCTTCGGCAGCCACTTTCTGCCATTCTTTGGCCCAAACCACCGTCGGGTGGACCCCCCGAACTGGAGCCACCAGGGGCATGAACAACGAGAGTTTCTTCTTCTTGTTGGACTGTTTCACCTCCCTGGCCCTGCCTTCCAGAAAACCACAGATTTCGGGGCCAATTTCCAGAAAATCGAACTCCAAGGATCGCACGTGCCTGATGTCCGACCAACGGTTCCTGCTGAAGATCTGAAACAGGAATACCCCTGCTGCAAATCGATCGACAATGTGGAGCTCAGCGTTCCAAACACACTCTTCCAGAAACCTAACTTCAAGCACTGTTAGGTCCCGGGCTTGATGTGTGGGCTCGTGCTCGCCTGCCACTCGGTCGGCCAAGCCTTGGACCCTGGGGGAGATGGAATTCTCCACATTTGGAATGGAAAGCACAAATTTCACAAACTTCAACGCTTGTACCACGCTCTGAGGTGCCAGCTTGCCCTTCTTCCTGTGGGATATCTCTCTGCAGAACTTGTACACCGCTTCCTCTGATGGGAGAAGGGGTTCCTCCACAGAGGTCCCTTGCACATCGGCCTGTTTTTGAAGCCAACGAAACAATCTCAACAAGGTTGATGCACGCTTCTGGATTGTGTGTGGTGATTTCGATCCAAACATGTCACGAAGGGACAACATCTTCTCCTCTTCGTCCAATTCCTGTAATGTTTTGGCAAAAGTGGTGGACGGGGAGGCCTCGAACAGCTGTTTCCACATCTGCATGTTTTTCAACCACATGCCTGCAACAGCCTCCTCAAAAGGCTCATCTTTCTTTTTGCACTTGATCACTTTGCTGAAAACATTGGCTCCCGGTGAGGAGCTGAAGACACCTGTGATTGGCGTCTTGTCTTTGTCTTGCAAAACGCTGGGACCTGGTGTAGACGATAGTTCGGCTTCATCCACATTGACAAGAACCTTGGGCTCTGGCCAGTCCAGTGACACCACTGGTCTAGGTGCGAAGATGTCCCTGAAAATTCCTTGTTCCCAGGGGAGTTGCACATTCGGTGGTCCTGCGGAAATCAGGACCTGAGCAACACGATGCTGGTTAACTTCTTGGCCTTCCGACTCGCTGTCAGAAGGCACCTCCGATGCTCTTAGGTGACCAGCCATCTGGGGCTTGAACCAAAACTGACCCAAAACTCCCGATACCCGCATGAAAAGAAACATGTGAGGAAGACAAAATTTCTGTTGCAAACATGATGACAAAGCGAAAGTTCACTCGCCCTGTCAGAACGGGACACTCTTTTATGGCTCCCGACGAGCTTATATCGAGGCTCAGTGTTTCGGCTCTTGGCTCAGATTGGCCAGGCTACGGATACGGCCCTCAAAACTGCACAGGTGGGACTCAAAAGCAGGTGGTCCCCTGACCGCGCGCTGCCTGCATCTCGGCATTCAGCGCCGGCATGCCCCCCTCCACCTGGGGCGTGTTCTCCTGCAGGAGCCCTTCCATCGAGAAGATGACGTCCCTTCCTTTGGCTCTTGCAGCCACCTTGGAGATTGAGATGATTGAGGCTTTGATACCTTCAAAGCCGGAGTCGTTGCAGACCCCTCGGCCGCTGAATCCGTACGACGGGAAGTCGCCGTCCGTGAAGTCTCCCGGGGTTATCTCCCCATACTCGCCCACACCCATGGCTGCTGTCCACGGCAAGCCGTGGGACATTGTCATCGTATAGCGGTGGTTTGCGGGCTCCAGGAAGGATGGCCCTGTCAACTTTGTGCGAAAGCACAGCACTTTCTGCCCTGGCACTGCGAACATGATCGCATCGAAGTCCCCTTCAATGTCCAGCGGCCTGGAGTTCTGCTTGAACCACGCGAACAAGCATGCACAGCGCTCGACAATCGGCTGCGGCACCTCGGTGGGATTCTTGTACTTTGCCATGTACAGCATCAACCGGTCGCGATACTCGTCCACCAAGGTCCCGTCAATCAGGCCTCGGGCGTCCTTCCAGGACATGTTCCACCAGCTTCGCAAGATGCCCTCACGCATCAGTTCTCGGGCGCACTTGGGTCGCGAGGGGTCTGCGAGGGCCTTAGCGATCGCCCCTTGCCAGAGCTGACTGTGGAACCCTTCTTCTTCGCGCTCAGCCTTGCGATTGGCCGCCGCTTGAACTTCCTCCTCCGTCGCCTCCGCAACGTTGAATGCAGAGTCGGGCCTCTCAGGCGGCCCCTGCTGCCGGGCTCCAAAAATCCCAGCCACTGGGTCGAGGAGAATCTCCGGCTCATCCTCCTTGGGGGCAGCCCCTCGCCCATACTGCTCCTTAGCCGGCTTTTGCTCAGGCTTGGGCCATTTGTTCCAGCCTTTGGGCTTGTCCCACTTCTCACGCCGATTCCCTCCAGAGCCCTGCCACGAGCTGCAGGAGCCGTAGTTCTTAGAATGCCCCCAACCTTTGCCCCATGAAGACTGCTGGCTCTTCCACGGGGTGGACTGTTCTTGCCACCGGGAGGAGTCCTTCCAAGAAGAAGCTGCCTCGGCTCCCTTCTGAGCAGGAAGGGATGCCTGGGTCTGTTGCCCAGACGCCACGCCGAAGACCGCAGTCGGCACTTGGCACCAATGAAATCCTGGCTGCGGAGCCGGCATGCTAGGGCTCCCAACAATTGGGGTCCTCGGCTGGGTCTCTGGAGACCTTTCTCGACGCCCCCTTGGGCTGCGCGACCTAGACGCCCTTCGGCGCCTGTCTCTGCGTCTTGAGCGACGGCTGTCGCTGCTGCTTCTGTTCCTCCTGCGGCCCCTGGAGGCAGAGCCTTGTGACTCACCGCCCGGAAAGAAGGGCCACGGAAACATCTGGGCTTACGCCTCTTTTCTTTGCCCCTTGGCTTTTGTTTCCTCTGAGAGCCTTCGCTACCCTTTTTGTCTCTCCTTTTTTTTTTTTGAGCCGACAGAAATTCAGGTTTGGGAGAATAAACTCAGATGTCAGCACGACTTTCCCTTGAAATGTGCAATTAAGTGCTGAGTCGATCGCAGCTTGCAATCTTTCTGTTTTCAAGCTCTCGAGAGAACCTCTCGTCTCTACTGGACGACTGATCGGTGCCCTTGCACCTCTTGCCGGCCCTTGCCGGATTTGGCTGTCGTCACGGCCTGAAAGAATGGGCTGCCCTTGCAGCGATGTGTGAAGCACACTCATTGTGTGCCTTGAATATTGGCCCTTGCCATCTTCAGCTGCCCTTGCAGCAAAACTATTTGAGTTGCCCTTGCAACAAATCTCAACGAGCTGACCCTTCAGCCGATCTTTGACCACGACTGCCTTAGCAGCTTGATCTCTCTTGAGCTGCCCTTGCAGCATTCTTGGAACTGCCCATGCATTATAATTCTCCCCGAAGACTTTTCACTTCGAAGGACACCACCTAAAGTGCGGCAGTGTTCATTTGACCATGTGGTTCTATCTGCAAAGGTCCAACACAAACTCACATGCTTCAAAAACACAAACCACGCAGCGGACTCCAGAGACAGTGCAAATGCAAGCACTGATTGCTCATCCCTTCCGTGCCTTAGCGTCTAGGACCTGTTGTCAGGGCAGGACGGACACGCTGCTGAACCTTTTGCTTGGCCATCGGCTAACGAGGAGGGCACTCCAGGTCCCCACATCAAGATGCCTGAACGGGGCGTGAACTGCGCAAGCTGATTCCTGATTCTGCTGCAGGAGAAACGTATGGACAAGGTTGCTTCTACACCCAGGCCAAAGCTTCTAAACTTGGTTCCGTGCAAGATAAAATATTTTGACCTGACATGTACAACTCTCGCAGTCGACGAGAACAGCTACCAGCTGCAGCAAGTTCTGAAACCTAAGACACTAGCTCGTCTCCAGAAGTCTCCTTGCACTCCAGCAAACTTCAAGCGGCAACAATGCACAGCAACTA